AAGCAGGGTCCCCTGAAGCTTATCCCAGTATGCACAGGGCACAGGCTGGGGGACACTATGGATCAGGGCATCACGGGGGCCGAGGACATACTACTGCGTGGTAGGTGGGAGGAAAGCAGAGTCCCTGGAGAAAATCCCACGCGAACACAGCAAGGACATGCCAACTCCACACATGCAGAGCCGGGGGCAGGATTCAAACAGCCAGTCCTAGACGTGTGAGACAAAAATAGTGCAGACTGAGACTGTACATACTTTGTTTGCCACATGTCTACCTACAGGGATCTAGTAACAAACAAACAGCAGTGCAGGATGGGAAAGGATCCTAAATGGAGCATTTTTGCTGAGACAGGACTTTGCCTGGAGACCAGGATACTGAGTCTTCCTACCCGGCGAGGGACCCCGCATGCCAGCGCACGCCAGTGCACGCCAGCGCACGCCAGCATACGCCAGCGTACTCCGCTTTGGTATTAATCATTTCCCCACGGGAGCCACGCTAAATAAACTCCTTGTTTTTCAAGAAAACAAACGAACGAGCAAGGTCAAAGATTAGCCCGCCCCTGTGATTCGGGGGGGGGGGGGGGGCGTAGCGCCGGCCAGGCGCACGCCTGACAAAGAGAGCGAGGGCAGTTCCTCGGGAACCCTTCTACCCCCCAGTTGGGCTTGCAGTGGCAGAAAGACAGGGGAAGGGAGGCAGGAATGAGATCCAGGCCGTTAGACTCACGCAAACACCGCGTGCCGGCTGAGTAGATGAAGATTTTAACATCATTAGATAATCACCCCTGGTGTTCTGCTTTTATCTATGCATCGCTGAAGGCATTTGGACGAAGTGTTCAGACTGACGCCATGACAAACAAAACTAAATATAGTCAGACACCTCCCTTGGCACACAGACACGCCAACATCAAACTCACAATCTAGCGCTGTAAAGGACTCCCCCTGCTGGAGGGGTCGGAGTTCCGCCAAGCCACACAAGCGTGTCACTCTTCACTTACTTTTGATTGTTCCGGCTGGTGTGCCAGACCGTCTCTGGGAGGTAATTTATGCAGCCAATCAAGCCTTCATTTGTCAACCATCACTCCACGTTTGAGGGTCTGCAGGGGGCTCTAGCCTTGGCCTCTGGGGCTTCCACATATGCTGTTTGTTGTTTTGATTGCAATTAGCCGGACGCATCTGAGCGGCGGTAGAGAGGGGGCCGCAGCGACATGGTCGGCTGTCATCAACAGGGAAATACGCCTGTCGATCTACACCCCCCATGTTTCCCCCCCCCTCGGGAAGGTCTGGCGGAGAGGTGCAGGCCTGCTTCAGGGGGCCCCTCCCTCCGTCCTCACTTCCATCAGCTGGCGGCATTAAGACGTGGCAAACAGCCGGCCATCACGCAGAAGGGCTGCTTATTAATGGGCCAATATCTCACATCATGCACACAGATGCCAGTAGCCGGAGCCTGCCCCCTAAATGCTAAATTATTGTTATTAAAGTGTGATTGACATGCTCGTTTATTAATTATAATCTCGCGCACAAATGCGGGTTGACTGCACCGGCTTCGTGTGCCAAACGAGCAACACGTTCGGCTAATAAATCCTGACGACCTATCAAAGCGTGCTGATCCCCCCTCCCCCCCCCACAGCCAGCAGTGATCTAGGATGCAGCACGATGGCCCAAGTGCACGGGAGAAGCACACTGAAAAGGGTGGGGTCTATGGGGGTGAACAGGACCATCTACAGAAGGTGGAGCATGCATGTATAGACATGATAAATCTGTAAAATACTGCAGTATAGCGGCCTGATTATCTGAGTATCTGGGACCTACTGAAGATAGAGAAGCATAGTAAGATAGTCGTTGGATGACACTGACTATGTTAGGGTCCTTTGCAAGAGGGCGGAGCATGCTAGACACCTACCCAATCGTCTTCGAGAGACGTTCTTCCAACAGAAGGTTAGGTTGAGCTTGAGAAACCAAGCTGAACGGCTGAAAGGATCTCATACGTCGGCTGCTATTCTTTTGGGTTCCGCTATATAATCAGGCGAAGCTCTACGCTGACGTGATAAACGGCACAGAACTCGCCTGTGAATTTTTGCATGCAGATGCCCGTGATCATTTCATTAGTCACCTGCTGCAGTAGGTAACGTAACAGCTAAGTGGGAAGTGTAATGCATAATGAAACCCAAATTTCGCCTGCTCTCATCCCAAGAGGGGTCCTACTGTAGCACCCTTGAGTAAGATGCTTAACCTGAATTGCTCCAGTCAAACTTCCCACTGTACAAATGGCTAAAAAGTGCAAATTACTATTGAGACAAAGGCTGAGCAACTTGGTTAAATGTGATTTTTTTTCACTTCACCACAATCTGTCTTGCTGAGTCTCAACCTGTCTGCAGGGTTTGTCCATCACATTAGATCATTAAAGAAGACTGACTATCTATCTATGTATCCATCCATCCATCCATTTGTAAAGCTGCTTAGCCAGTAGAGGGTCAGGGTGAGCAGGAAGCGTATCCCGGGAAGCAGGGAGTACGAGGCGAGGTTACCCTGAACCGGCACCAGCAGGACACAGAATCATAGATTATTCACAATTGTGAGACATCTATTCATCAAACCACTTTGAAATGTGGGAAGAACATGCAAAAATGCTGACAATCAAGGCACCAAACTGTCCCAAATGAAGATAAGGATATGCAAAAATAAATATAAATATCTTTGGTAGTAAACCCAGTAAATTTTATTTTAAAAATGTATACAACAAATCATACTTTCCATCCATCCATCCATCCATCTTCTACACCTGCTTATCCTAGGCAGGGTTGCAGGAATCATACTTTTCATTTTTTATACAAAAGAGTCACCTGGTAAATGAAATCTGGGTGGCCATTTATTGCTTGTGTATTGAGATCTGTACATACACTTTTTTCTGTTTGTATTTAATTTACTTTTATGGGGCACAATGAGTTTTTTATGCCCTAATATAGCTTTGGTAGCTCCTACTGCCTCTAAACTAGGCAGTTACACCCAATGAGCACTCTGGTAGCAGTGAAAAAGGCCCTTCAAGCCGCCATATTGAGTCCAGACAAATGATTTTTATACAACACAAGGGCACTTCTTCTTCGCTCAATCTGTTGATGGCTTTGTAATACACTTAGGAGCCACATATAAGCTTCTCTCGTTTTTTTACTGCCCTGTGAATCCAAGATGCCGTTTATGTGAAATAAACATCCTTGACATTCATATGGACTCCATCAAGTGAAGCTTAGAGGGGCCCCGGAGAGCCTTATAAACAGCCAGAGAGACCTTGTTGGGGTGGAGGGAGGCGGTTATCTTCTTCATGATTCAGGGGGTCGTGAATCATGACAAAAGCATATGACTTAAATGGGCTGGACTCACAGAATACTAAACCTTTGCTGACGTCAAACCTCAGTGCTCCCCCTAGTGGAACTGTCACGACACCACACACATTCTGCACCAGGCTGGAATAAACGTTTAACAACCTCAGTACTATTAATGAACACTATATCCCTTAAACGAGGCATTCATTTGTTTGATTTGCAGCTAACGACATCAGCTGGGATGAAAGCCCACACATGAATTGGTCCTTTAGGATGAGAACCAGGACCGGACACCAGATTAGCCAGGATGGGCCAGACTAATTGTCGTTTAAATATCATTTGAATATCTAAGGCTAATTTGACATATTCTCCAGCAGAGGGCAGCCACACTCCACATGTGGACCCGACCCACAGGCAGCCGGCAGCTGTGCCATCTTCAAGCACAGTTTCACAGAGCGAGGATGGATCTTAACACATATCAGAAAAGCCTCACATTTAATCATCACATCCTTGTCATCTATCACTATGGCAACCTTGTATAATCGTCTGGATCATTTACATTGCTGTTTTCACAGGCGGATTGCTTCACCGCCGCCTCCTCCACACACGATTCCTCTCGGCTCCCGCAAACATTTTACAGTCGGAGGTTTATTCCGCGGTTGCTGGGCGAACGTGGAACGCGCCAGGCTTCCATAGCAGGGATTTTCTGTCAAGATGCTACGGTGGGGGGGAGAAAATGATGCCGGTGGCCATGTTTAACCACTCGGAATACAATGGCAGACGCGGTCACACAACCACACACAGATACGTGCCGAATCAGATCTGCGCATTTATGAGACGGGCTGTCCGACAAAAGCGTCCGCACACACGGGGGCACATGAACGTACACAGATGCGCCGGGTGGCAATCTCTGCCTCGCGACACCCACACGGGTGACGGTGATGTGTAGACCAGGGTCACAGGCCATTACGGGTGGTGGGGAGACGCAGCCGACCTGAGACAGCAACCGTTACCCGATTACACTTTTAATGGAATAAAAAGACTCAATGACGAAATGGAGACCCTTTGAAGCGACATGTTTCAATTTGTCTGTGTGATGATTCATTCAGAGCCAGAGTCGGCTCCGTGTAATTTCTCCATCTCTCGCTGTCCCTCAATGAGCGTAAGTGGAGACACCTTGTGCTGGTCTTTACCTACACATTCATCTCCCCCCGGAGCCAGCGGGCCTGCGGGGGCCCCAGTCACGCTTTATTGTTCTCTTTCATTATTCATGGATATATATTCCAAATAAAATCAAACGCATCTGCTATTTGAGCAGTCGGTGGGTTGGGCAAATGGAGTTCAAATTGCCTGAAATTAGGGAAGGAGCGAAAGCCGGAGAGAGGAAGATGGAGATTTTCATCCCTGGAGAAAACAACTAATAGCTATTTCTGCAGAAACTGGCGCAATCTTGTCTGACTATTCAAAGGAGAGGTTGACTAATTTGCGGGGGCAGTTTCTCCCATTGTGCTCCCTCTCTTTCTCCTTCCTTCCCCCACCCCCCTCAAGCCCCCACCCCCACCCCCACCACCACCCCCAATCCTCCCTCTCTCTAAATGCAAAGCTGAGCCCAAGGGCAACATGACGATCCTGGTCAATCACACTCGCTGGATCTGCATATTCAGCCAGCCATAAATCTTCTATTACCTGCTCCGCCGGCTCTGACTTCTGGCCCTTCGTTTCTCCCAGACAGGGGACTCTCCAGCAGATGGGGGGGGGGGCGCATCCTGCACAGTCCAGCATCCTGCACATCCCCCCTCAGTCCTCACCCAGCCTGACCCTGCTACCTTCATCAGAAAAAAACCAGCACACAAAACCATCAGGGTTTAACACAAGATGCAGACTGTAATACTTCCACTTCTTCTTCTGGAAAGTAAATGACTCGCTGCAGGTCAGGGAGACCTTCCCCTCTATGTGTCCTGCAGCAGCTCCTCCAACACCAGCAGCTCCTGCCCCCCCCTCCGCTGCCTATGTTTAATGGCGAGCCTGTGTAAAGCGACGCTGTCCCCCCAACATGGACAGAAACAGAATCCGCGGGTTCGTTCTGCCCTTGAACTGTTTCACAGTCCCGTGCCAGGAAGGCAGGGAGTGGGAGGATTGTTTTCTGACATAGCCCTTACCAGCAGGGGGAGCCAGAGGGTCAACGGTTGTCTGCATCCGTGCATGTGTGTGTGTGTGTGTGTGTGTGTGGGAGTGTGTGGGTGCATAGGGGGTGCATAGGGGATGCATGCTGCTGAACTCGTGTGCAAAGTCAGCCTAGACTCACGCAGTTCCGAGTAACTGCGCTGTGCCCTTGATGCGGCGCATGTGAAGGCGAGAATCCAGACAAAGAAGGCAGGGAATTATGCAAAGGCAGGTACTACATTACAGCTACAAAGTGCAAAATTACCAGCGACCACCATCATGGCCCTGTGGCATTATTTCATCCATTTTCTGTCATTTGTAGACTATGTTCCGGCACGCAATTTTTACGCTTTAACTGGTGCTGAGGTATTTACCGAACTCGAGTTGCCGGGCCTGAGGTAGCGGGAGGGATTCCTGCTTATCCATGCTCGGAAATGGGCGGCGTTCCTGGGAACGTGTCCAGCTCCTTAACCACCGAGTCACCTGCTGATAGACAACGCAGATGTTTGCGGAGCTGAGCTCTGAGGTCATGTGCAGAGCTGCTCCGAGCTGCTGTTTAAATCAAACTCAGGGTGAGGGACCGCGGGAAAGCCAGTCCCCGTCGCTGGATTCGTACCGCACGAGCCGCGTTCGGAGCGCACCAACAATCCCCCCCCATGCTGGGCCAGCCCACGCTAAATATCATGTAGAAATTGCCTTCAGGGTAAGTTCCTGAATCTTTAAAGTGCGTAGTAATTAATCCGTTTTCAAGGAAGCCAAATCCACATCAAAACAATGAATTTGGTTATATCGAGCTCACACCGCTCTCTATTAGTAAATACGCAGCTTTGGAAGGAACTGAGCCTCTGCCTTGGACTAATCAAATGAGTCGTGCCTTGTATCTTCTGCAGCCCTTCGGAAATGTATGTTACAGTCTTCATACTTCACTGCTGTGACAGATCAAGCCCCGTGTTTGTGGCAGCAGGCCGCAGCCAAGACATCCTTATTACCTCAAACAAATTAAAAGCCCTGGTCAATCTCGCTGGACCAGCATTCGCTCGACTTGACAGATGCTCTTTCCCTTTGCTTTTTTGAAGATGTGGTCAAAACAGAGAGAAGCCCTTTGCAAAAAAAAGGGCAGTTTTTAACTGGAATTACCCAAGGACTCAGAGGTGCCAGGGTGAGCTAAGGATTTATGGGGGACGTCACCTTTTCCCGGGAGGGAGTGCTGACTTGGGTCTTTGCCTCTTTTCAGTTCTTCACAAAGTTTGACATGAGGAAAGAGGAGTGGGGAGATTTTGGCGGCAGGACAAACGCTGCTTCAAGGCCAACGACAAACCCGCAGGCCAAGAGTGACCTTGACTTCTCTGGTGTGTAGACGAACAGGCCTGCCACGTGGAAAGAGAGGGAGGAGGGAGAGGAAGACGGAGAGGCAGGATGAGACGGCGCAGCACCTCACACGGTCTACCGACATCCAGCCCTAAATGACAAATAGTCATACAGAAAGGAGCTTCCAGCATATCTGAAAGCCTTTCGGTGAAAATAATGGATGTCACCCTTTATGGCTAATTCGCCATCCATGACACAAAGCTGGGCAAACAGACCTCGGGAGTTCGGCGCCAGTTTCTTGGCCAGGCCAACATCTATGATGAAATCCACCTGGGTCCAGCCTGGAGCTGAAGACACAGTAGAGCCCTCTGCTGCCCCCTGGTGTGTCATTGGTGGCGGGTGGGGGAGACAGAGCAGGGTGATTAACAGACGCCACTTCCTTGTCTCTCTCTGTGCCACCTCCACCCTGCACCCCCACCCCCCTCGCCTCTACACTCACCCAGCTTCTGCTGGACTGAGACTTAGACCTGTCACAGATGGCGCTTTTGATTTCTCTCACCCCATCGCCCCCACCCTCCAACGCCCCTTCTGTCTACATCTCAAGGTGGCTGTGGCTCAGGCAGGCAAAGTAACGCTTCTTTCCCCTGCATGTAAATGCCAGCAGCAGTCTATGGTAGCAAAAAGTTGCAAAATGGTACGTGAAAATATTTTTTGCTGCAGTCGCCAATATAAACAGAAACGTTCAACAAATCTGCTGCGTGAAAGCTGATTTACTGTCAATACAGCTGCCCCAGCTGGATCTGAACTGCGTCTCCTGAAACTCCTGAATCGTGATTGGCTACAAGGCTCACACTCGCTTTGTCCGCAAGCCTCCCTCACCTGCAGGATTCAAATTTAGCCAAAGACTTGAGCAGAAACTCTGACAGAAGCTTCTGTTGCTCGGTAACGAAGCTCAGTACAGAATGTATCTCAGTGACTGACCCCAGCGGAGCATCCTGACTCCAGGAGGAACCAGCAAGGAGACCATGACTCATGAGCAGAAACATGGTCAGAGCTGCTCTGCCTCACTCTGCTGTCACCTCGCCACCTTGGAAAAGACTTCCTTTAATGCAGGTCCAGATGTTATCTACCACTAATCCTTTGATTTTCTGCTACGCTTCTTTTATTGAGGGTCGTGCAAAACATCATGTGGAACAGGAGACCATCATATCATCACCGCTACTCCTAGCAAAACCTATTTGCCATTAGCTTAACAGCAACTCCGCATGTTTCCCGTTTGAAATCAGATGCCATTACCTGCCCAGGGCTACATTTCGGGGGGCGGGGGTCCCTGATAGGGCTGGACTGGCCATTCTGTCATTGCCCCTCTGATTGGCAGTTTTATTGTAGGTATGTATGAGTGGCGGACCAGTATGGGCAAAAGTCCAGGGTTGATTTTTAATCCCAGTCCAGTCCCGGCTAAAGTCATTATTGGGGCTCTACCTATAGAACTAAATGCTGCTGTAACAACCAGCAATTTGGGGCCCTCTACAACTCAGAGCCCTGGGCTACCACCCTGGTTAGCCCATCCATAAGTCCGGCCTCGCTGGCTTCCCTGAAGGCTTCCAGTCCATCCTGGCCCGGCTCGGCAAGCACAGGCTATGGAGTTCTGAAATGCAACATGACAGCGTGAGGGCTGCCCGGGCCACTGGACTGTAGCTATACGCCCCCTCTATCTTCGGCTCACGGTGATGGAAGGCGAGCCTGCCGGCACCTGTGAGTGGGCAGAGCTGGAAACGCATACGCTGCCAAGGCCAGCTCCGCGGAGTGGGCCGCCTTAACGCGGGGATTTAAAAGACTAGCTATAATTAAGGCCGTTATGCAATTATTCTGAATAGCGGTATCTGATGACAAACGGGATTATCATTAACAGCAAGGAAACTGGAGCAAGAAAAAGTTGCAGGACTGAATCCCAGGAGAGAGTCAGTTGTTGTACCTTTGAATAAGCTGCTTAACATGAATCACCACGGTAAAATACCCAGCTGTCACCCGACGGGCTCAGAACCGGCAAGCTAATTTAGGATAAAAATGCTGCCGTTTGGAAATAACCACCCAGCATCTTAATTTTTCTGCTCATTCGCCTCACAGTCCAAGTCAATGAGAGCAACAACAAGACCCCCCCCCCCTCCCCTTCGTCAGAGGATGTGATTGGCACCTGATTAACCTCTCCGTGCTGTAGTCACACCCGTCAGCCAATCATGTGTGTTCTCGCCGGGAGACGTCGACCAGTGAAATGACAGTGACGACAACAAAAACAGACAGGGATCGGACCCAAAGGCGTGCTCTGAGGGCCGTCAAGGCCTGTAACTGGCGGCACGAAGCTGAGGAGAAAGACAGCGGGGGCTACCGACACAACAAAATAAATGAACCGGAAACTGAATATTTATGTCATACACAAAACAAAAAACTTTCCCCCTGATTTTTTTTTTTTTTTTACCTACTAGGAAATGTGTTGGATCGAGGACTAGTCTAGAAGGTTGGGAGGAAGTGTTTAAGTTTTGATGCACACCCCACCCTACTTCCTGAACCAATTGGTGCTGACATCCTATGTACAGCTAAATAGTGCCCAACACACAAAAAGTTGTTTCACCCCCACCCCCACCCCCACCCCCACCCAAATGTGTGACGGACAGCAGAGACCATACACAGAGAGGGGCTCGCTGGCGGGGGGCCAAGCAGCTTACAGCACCAACACCCCCCATCCCCAACGCACACAACTCCGCTGGGCTTTGAGATCTCCGAGCCGGCCAATTATCCCTTCCTCGAGCAATTATATCACATAACGCTGGAGAGACCACGTGACACACCCCCCTGATGAGCTTCAGCGGAACATTTACATACCACAAGTGGCATTTCAGCACAAAGAAGGTAACAATGCAACGTAACGCTAACGGAGCGGAAACCGGCGCAAATACTGCGTCAATAATCTGACTCGAAGCGCATTTCTTTATAAATATGCATGCGGTCAAAGATGCTTCCAATGAAGCCCGGCAACCGACGCGAAGACAACCGCTCACACACACCTGCACAAACCTGCGACACCTCCAAAACACGCGCGTGGACGCGCGGGCACACATGCAGACGCGCGCGAACACGCACGCACACACACACGCACGTCTGCCCTGATACGTCCCAGTAAAAGGGCTCCGGACCTCATGAGCAGAACTTGCCCTGGTCCCCGTACATTGGCCAGTGGTGTTTACTGTTATTTAAAAGAAAAATAAGCCGGTGTGACAGTTTAGCATTGATTGATAAGGCTGGCAGGGCAGGGGAGATAAACAAGCAGGTGATGGATACGCTGCTCTCGGAGTGAAGACATCACGCCGCAGGCAGAACCCCGCGGCAGGAGTCCAGAAGCCGCGGGCGGGCTACGCCGGCCCGATCTGGGCCCACTCACTAATGCAGCCGTAATCGCTCACTATATTTCCCATTAAAAGGAGCGCCTAATGAGCCAGTCTCACCAGCTCACAGAAACTGATTATTATCTGCGAGTTCCTACAGAGTTGGTGTTTGTCCAAGACTCTCTCGCCGCACCCGCCCTCCCCCGCCACTCAACTGCCTGCAATTACTCCCGGCGCCCAGTAGATGGCACTGTTGACTTTCCACAGAATCCCTCTGGAACGCCTCCGAGCTCTGCTACTGTCGGCTTCAGTGGCTGCATATTTTCCGCCGTCTGTCAATAAGGGCGTCAGTGGCGGGACTGCTGCTGCGCGCTTTCTGCTAGACAGAAATGACAGACCTCCTTCAAGACGCGGCTCGAGATTCATTCAGTGCGGAGAGGCAAAGCCTGGGCTGTCTGCACACTTATCTGAGAACATAGGGCCTAACATATTACAGGACTGTAAGGGAAGTGAGATTTCCCCTTCCTCAGGACTCACATTCACTATCTTGTGCCCCAGGGAAACTGTCAAACACAACTTTTCTTGAGTGGTCTGCTAAGCTTAGGTCAACCCTAATTTAGGGTCTGTGTGTGGGAGTGAGGTCCAAAACCATCTGGGTGTGTGTGGGTGTGCGTTCCTCTGGGTGACCTCATAACATGCTTGTCATGAGGCTCCTTAATTGGTTGCCTTGACGAGTTTGATGAGCCACCAATATCCAAACTATCACTGAACAGTATGGAAAAGAAAATCTGTTGTTTGTTTGAGTTTATTTGGATACATTTCTGGCCACTTGACTAATGGAGCAATACTAAGGAACATGGATGCCATACTGGCAAAAGTGCAGAAGGTAACACCTCATCTACGTCGAGTGTTAATCTCACACCCCCCGGCAGTCGTGTTTCACCCCCTTGTTTGTAAATGAACTCTGGAGGCTGGCAGATGCCTCGTCAAACCCCGACGCCGTTCGCTCCGCGACCTTCCATTGTCATACGCAGTAATTGCGCTTAACGGCCTCTAATTTAATTGAATCCTCCACTTTCAAGTTCACATGAAGTTGATACATAAAGATACAGAAAGCGCATGCCTTTTATGTGCCAATAACTTTCCATGCGCCTTATTTATCGCTGTCCGCCCGCTCACACTCTCTATTCACTCTCCTCCGTAACGACGGCACCGACTCGTATATCACTTTTGGATGCGTCCAGCCCGACGTGCATGCCCAGTCAAAGTGCCTGTTCCCTCCCGTTCTTTAACGCGCCAACCTGCACTGTCCCTCGTGCCCTGGCACTACGATGGCAGCCAGCCAGCGTCCGTCCTCGCCGCTAGGCTTCAGATACGCTGTTTTTCGGGGCATGGGGGCGACGCGCCAGCGTCCCTGACGGCCACTCGACGTTCCAAGGCACGCTGTGAGACGCGTGTGTGCGTCTGGGTCCGGATCGGCAAAGCTGCGGTGTTTGAAGACCACCCACCCCGACCTCGTCGCTAAAGGAGCTTCGATAACAAAGACGCCATCTATAATTGCCCTTCAGACAACCCAGCGGCGAGTGTATAATCTCAAAATAAATAAACTCATAATAATAGGCGGACGTGTGGCTCAGTGGGTTAGGATGCTGTGGCTGTGATCGGAAGTTCGCTAGTTCAAATCCTGGAGTTGGCAGATGATTTTTCTGTTGGGCCCCTGAGTGAGGCCCTCACAACGCACAGTCTCACTAAGGATTGTCTAACCCTGCTTTCTCTCATGAATTTCCATTGCTTTAGAAAAAAAGTGTCTTCTAAACAATTAAATCTAAATAATAATAACAATCATGGCCATATTTATATTGTGTCCAAATATGTTTTAGTCTGTCAGTCGACATAACGATTTTAGGATCCCTCAGGTTTTGTCGTCCTGCCATCTTGGCCGAAGTGAGTCAGAGTCAAGGTGCCGGCCCCCGCCGATGGCACTCTGACTCCGGCA